GGAAAAATTCCGCACGTTCCGAAACCAGAAACGGCCTTATCAATATTTGCCACCTGATCATATGCTAACTTAAAAATCTCGGCGACATCATATGGAGTAATTTTATCTTCAAACTCTGAGTTGCTGATCTTAGATTTTAGAAAGGAATTGCAATGGCGACCATACGCATATTTTAATGCAGAAAAAAATGACACATCAAGAGGTTGTAATTTGTGGGATGTGTGGGGTGGAATACTAACCATTATAATCCCATTCTCTTTGCAGTAATTATAAATATCCAGTGAAATATGGCTCGAGTGATTATCTAATACTAACAGCACGGGATTATCTGGACTAGACAGGACTTTTTTTTGGAAATGCTTCAGCCATAATAAAAACATAGACGTATTACTCCATCCATTATCCGTGCAGTTGTAAATCGCACCGCTTGGTCCATTTTTCTGAAGCTGTGGGCTCATCCTCTTCCTGGGAAATATAAATAATGGAGGTATGTAGTTACCGGAGGCACTGAACGCCATTATTACCGTGATATTCTTCCCTCGTTCCCACGAAGAAATGATTCCAAACTGCTTTACTCCTTTGGGTCCAAGTCTTTTACATGATTCTTTAGGAACCGTAGATATACCGGTTTCATCAACATTGTAAATGCGATCTGGCAGAAATTTATATTTTTCTTGCACTGTTTCCAAATTTTTAAAAAAGCGGTCTACTTCTATTTTATTGAAGGCTGTTATTCTATTAATGCTTGTAGCTTCTGGCTTTCTCAAGGAAATTTGAGGATTTCGTTTTATAAATCCTAGATACCAGTCTTTTCCAGCCATTTGTTTATTCTTATTAAAATTGTGTTTAATTTCATTGCGTTCTGCATAAGCAAATGCCATGGTTCTCAGCTCTATGCAAGTGATACCAAAAAATAAATTGGCCAGCTTGAGAACATGATCTAGTATCTCCTTTTCATGATGTGCCGAAAACAATGGGGCTCTACCAAGAGACTCTGATTTGACTTCCTTTAATAAATTTTTAACCTTAAGTTTTCTCCTCAATGTAGCTTCTGGTATTGAAAATGCCCTTGCCACTTCCCGAATTTTACGACCATCTCTACAAATTGCATTCAATGCTGCATTAAGAGCTGCTGCAGAAAATGATCCTCTCTGTGTTTTTCGTATATATTTTCCCATTTCTAAAAAAGAAAAAGATGCCTCAAAATGCAAAATAGACACTAAATAATAAATATTCTATACTCCATTGTTATTTAAGGTAATGAACTGAAAAGTCTGCGTCAACTTAGCCTGTTCAGCATAACCTACAAAAAATGGTTATCAAAATTATCCATCATCAAATATTTAACAGATAAATCCTCGCTAACTGAAAATAAATATCACCTACTCCCATGAATATGAAGAAAATCCAATGGAACCATTTTTAAACAACTTACCATTAATATTCGCAGTGTCAAAAATAACAAGAAATCAACGTGTATCGCGTTACTCTGCCTCACAGATACTAAACAGTACGAAAGCTGACCGATGAAGTTTTAAAGTAATAGTAGTTTCTAAAGGAGGGCGCCACGGGTATAAAAACTGAATTTAGTGAAGTACTTGATAAAATACAGAGGTGCGTCATCTTAGACGCTGCGTCATCTTCCCCGTCCTTCCCCTACGGGTTGTGTTTGTTTTGTCTTTTGGTTGGATTCTTCGGTATGGGCATTTTTGTGAAAATTCCGGGTGGCCTCCATTACAGTAGGGACATTTGGGAACACCTATCGTGCAGGACATGCAGCAGACCTGTGTTGTTGTCCACAGAATGGACAAATAAATGATTTTTCGGGGCATTCGTTACTGAGGTGTCCGCTTTTGCAACATTTCGAACAGTATTTTAGTCGAACCGGAACGGAATTGATTGATCTTGGAATCTCGCATATCAATTGTCCTCCCTCGATCTTAATACCGTTCGAGAGTGCATTGGCGAATTTAGTTTCAAAGTTTGTGAAAACTCCGGTGAAAAAGGTACCTATTTTGGCACTCATTGCCCATTGGGGGGGGGGGGGTTCATGAGCGCGATACCTCCGGCACACTCTAATTTTAATAATTATGTGGCACAAAATTAAACTACAGGTAACAGGTTATAGTAGAGTATAATGCAAGAAAATCCTTCATAGATGTATGAATTCTTATAATTCCTTTTCAAGGAGTTCATTGAAGTGGTACCGAAAAGTTGCCTTTGATATTTTACTAAAATAGAGAGTCATGTAGAGGTAATTTCAAAAAGCTTAACATACTAACAATGGCTGGAACATACATATATGAATGCTTACTTTTCATTTTTAAAAATAGACATACATTCTTGAAATTCATAACAAACCATAATACTAATACACGAAACAATCTCATAAACTATAATATACCAATACATAGACTAACAGCATCTGAGAAAACCACAGAATATTAAATTCTTTAACTGCCTTACAGCATCAAAATAGAAACTGACATAAATAAATATAGAAAGTCTGTTCAACAATTGCTCATACACCTTGAACCGTACAAAGTGGAAGAATACCTTCAAGCTGACCTGCAGGGAGACTGAGGGCTCTTACCTGATTCTAAATGTCACTGTTATTATCATTATATTTTAATATTACTTTTATGTTAAGTGTAGATTGTTACAGCAACCATTATAAATTGTAATTGACACCATTCTCTCTATTGACAATTTATATTTGTGTATAACGTGTTAATTCTGAGAATAAAGCTTTTTCTGTTCTATTCTAAATGTTGCCATTGTAAATCCCTTGTCATTTTATTCCAAAGTAACAAAAAACATAAAAATAACAGAATTTAGAGGCTATTATCGAAGATATGCTTACTAAACAAGATTGTGTAATGTCTGCTATTAATGTACACAATTTAATAAAATGCCGAAAAAGAAACCGCTGCAATCAATGTTAAAAGATGTTGCTACCAGACATGGAAGAAAAACAGCTCAAAAGGAAACTCCCCGTGTGTGGACAAAGTGCTCTGCTATAAGTCTTTTTTAAGGTGCATGCTGCCAAATTACAATAATTTTAATTTATGAGCATTTATGTTAACTTGTTGACTGTTTTTTGTGCCATTTGTTAGCGTTTCGCTACTATATAAATAAATATTTAAGTTAAAAAAGCGTTTCCATCACTCTTTGATAAACGACCTTTATAGAAAAAAGTATAATACCATGTGCAGTTTTCTGAGGCCAAAACTTTAATTTCTCCATGTAAAATATACAAGCCGAGCGACTGCTGAGGTACAAGACATGTAGTTTAGGTAGGTATACTGAATGCCAAATTTGGCCCTCAATATTTGAATTTATCTTCTGGATTCAGAACCATATATGGTACTCAAATGACTCTTTGGTAATGCAGGACAAGAGAGGCTGGCAGTCAACCTGTTATGGACCACCCTGTATACACTAGCTCCATTGACATTTTTCCTCTTAATTCTTTCAATGTAGATTTTCGACGAATCAACGAATTTCTTTCTGTATACTTGTACTTTACCTACTTATCGACCTTTCTAGTGAACTACAGTGGAACCTCGATTAACCGTCTCTCTATTAACCGTCACCTCTGTTAACCGCCAGGGTCCATACATAAGTTGTATGGACAACATAAGTAAAAATTTAGTCATCAATTCATTTTGTTTGGACAATGCACCTGCCCATCCTAAAGCCGGTATGCTGCGGAGTGACGATAAAAATATCACGTACTCTTTTCTGCCTGCGAATATAATATCATTGATACAGCCAATGGATCATTCGGTCATTAAAAAACATTCAAAAGAAGATACAGAAAAAAAAATTATTCAAAACCTAGTTATGGAAGAGTAATATTCTTTGCCAAAATACTGGAAAGCTTACAATTTAAAACACGCAGTCGACAATGCTGTGGATGCTTGGGCTGATGTTTTGGAAGTAACGCTGAAAAGAGCGTGGAATAAATTATGGCCTGAATCAACTTAAGATGAAAATGCTCCCCTTAAATGAAGTGGTTGAATCAACTGTTTTGTTTTCGTTGCCTAAAGATGACATAAACGAATGGTTAATTTGTGATAAGGACGCCAACGGCTATCGATTGCTGACACATGATGAAATCGTTGAAATGGCGACAGGGCGGACGAAACTGATTCAGAAGCTGACAGAGACTCTGATGGTGGCGATGTTGATGATGCTATTACAACTCACGTAGATTTGCGTAAAGAAGCTAGAGGAGCTGCATCGCACATACAATAATTCATCAAGTGGTATTCTCGGCAAGAAGAAGCAAACAAGGTAGATTTGATAATTCTACGTCGATTAAGAAACTCAGCCGTTGCAAAATGTGAAGTAACAATAAAACAAACAAATATTTCGGAATAATTTTAATCAAATTGATTCGACTGTACTAACATAAATCCCTCTTATATTGTCAAATAAAACATACAAATAAAATTTGAGAGTTATACTATGATTTTTTTTTAATGTTCTGTTAACCGTCTTTTCGATTATCCGTCATACCCTTGGTCCGGTGCCCTGACGGATAATCGAGGTTCTACTGTACTTGTACTTTGTCATCCTTGTAGATTGACATAGTGCTAACATTGTACTTCTGTCGTAAGTTCTTTAGACAGGGAGCGTACATAAGGGTCCTTCTGATGTGGGATGGGGCTGTGAAATGTATTTTCCTATTTTTGTTTCTTGAAGCGATTACTAATTTGTTGAATTTAATATTGTTAACTTTTCCTTAACTGACAACGAAATTTTTTTATTTAAATGACTCTAATTATTTAAAAACAATTTCATTTTTCAGTTTTTGGTCAGTTGGTAAATTTTTCTTTCATTAGTTTGGCCTTTTCTGAGAAAATGTTTTCCCTGGATTATTATATCATGTTCTGGTTAACAATTAATACATTGTTAGTAGGTTTTTTTATTCTAGTCTGTATTTTGACCATCACAAAGGATTAACTAGGTAAATTGTAAGAAAAACACGAAGAACAATAAATACAGGATAATATATTTTCAAACATTTTTTTTAAAGCCCACTTGGAAACATTCCAGTGACCTTTACACAGCAAAATAATAAAATAAAAAACTATATTTAATAAAATAAACCTAACGGGTATAATAGACTCTATAATAAAGCGTTTTGGATCTCCAAAGGGAATACGAATTGTCAAACTTCAATAAATACACTCCCTTGCCGGGATAGGGATGGGATCCTGCGTAGACTTCATTTTGACAATCTCTTCGGTATACTGGCACGATCTCGTGAAGGAGAGGTTTGGAGATGCCGTTTACGGTGACGGAACCTGATTCTAAATCGCTAGTTCGTATCGTCTCTTCATCGAATACATCGTCGTCGTCGTCTAATTCATCGATATCTTCGTCGTCGCTTTCAGAAACGTGTACTGAGACTTCTTCAGTCTTGGGGGTTCCAAATTCGAAGTATACGCCAAAACCTAATAAAAAAACAAAACTAGATTACAATATGTAATACGTAAGCAATAATTCCTAGATAATAAAATACAACAGTTGTATCATTAGTTTCCGTTCATATAAAGCAAAATAAAAATTATTTTAGTGTCGAAATCTTCTTTAAGTGCCATCTCCGTGACGAAGGTTGGCAATCATCATGGCTATTCTGACCTTCGAGGCAGCTGCTCTGAACAATTCGCGAGGAACCGCAAATTGGGCGACGCCTGGTGGTAGATTTCAAAACCATCCACTTCGGGAAAACTTTGAAATTGTCATTAATTTGTATACATATTAGCGACCGGTTTATATTGTAATTAACAATGACAAAAAACTATTGCAGTGTTCCTCAATGTTCATCCTATTATAAGTCACAAAAAAATTCCATACATAAGTTTCTGCTGGACGAGAATATGAGAAAAGTTTGGCAATGCATTTTGCGAATTGGCAAACCTATAATCAAGTACATGACTGTGCAGTTTACATTTTACTGAGAACGATTACTTTCCAAGTAAGTGTTGATTAAAATATTATTTATATTTTAATATATTTATACTTAATTTACTTTATAGTATAACACCTGAAACTAAATTGAGAAGACTGAAGAAAAATCTGTTCCATCAGCTAAATTGCTACAACGATCTGATGAAGATATTAGTAGAAAACGTAATAATTTATAAAATATAACGTGGCCAGCTCCAAAAACTGCAACATTGCAACCCCATAAATAATTAAGATAATGTAGATTTTACTTCCCGTGTTTCAGACATACTGTAAAAAAACAAACATTTAATGTTATTTTTGTTCAGGTTTGTGAGTCAATTACCTTATGAATAAACTCGAATCACAAACAAATAAACTTTGAAGAACGTACTCCAACTTTTACTTTGGCAAAACACATGTATGATTTTATTAAACGTTTTATAGTTTCTAGATCAAATAACAAAATTATTTCTTTTCCCGAAGTGATCGTCCACCTTTGAAATCTTGAGCGCCCCCTGTCTGAATTGGCTATCGCGAATTACCTTGAGCTGCAACCAAACCACTTTCTCAGGTTCTTCAACTAATAAACGCGTCTTCTTCCTACGCTTCTCCTACCCTCTATTTTTCCTTGAATTATGAGTCTCAAGATGTTGTATCTTTCGCCTCTCATCACATGTACGAGATATTGCAATTTCCTTTCTTTTATTGTATTTTCCATTTCCCTCTCTCTCCTTATTCTCCTTAACACTTCTGTATTCGTGACTCTATCTACCCATGGAATCCTTAACAATATTTTGTGTCCACATTTCAACGTTAAATCGATTTATTGTATTCCGGTTTAATGTCCATGATTCAGCTCCATGGTAGAGTACACTGTGTACATAGCATTTAATTAGCCTTATTCTGAGGGCCAATGTCAGATCTTTGCTGCATAATTTTTTTTTCATTTTCACGAAGTTGGCACGTGCTTTTTCAATTCTGTCTCTTATTTCTGCCGTATAATCGTTATTTTCTGTGATTATCGTTCCCAAGCAAGTATATCTTTTTATTCTCTCAATCTGCTTGCAGCCTACCGTTAACATTTCGTTTTTATTGTTGTTCTTGCTAATTTTCATGAATTTGTTTTTTTCATTATTCTTTCTGTCTTCCAAGTTGTCGGATATTATGACTGTATCGTCGGCATACCTAATGTTGTTAATTAAACTTCCGTTCACTTTTATGCCGACTATCTCGTTTACCAAGGCTTTTTGTATGATTTCTGTCAAATTTTTCGCTATTTCTGAGTGTCGCAATAGCGTTCTAAAACTTGTTTCCTTTTTCCCGTTTCTAAAGCACTGAACTTAAATCTTCTTTTCTAGTCGTCTCACTTATTGCTGTTAAAATAATTGTAGAAATTCAGTGTTAATGTGCGCATGCAATACGGCGACCAATAAATGAGCCTTATTTTCTTCATTTCTTCTTTGATTGTAAGATTGTGGCAATAAAGAGCGAAGGAAAATATATTTCTCTAAATACATACCTATATCGTAATGATCAGTCGCAAACTCCCAAAATAATCTCGACCCATGCGGATGTGTCGGTACTCTGACGGTAACGGTTTCTCCGTGGCCCACTCTCACGACACCGTCACCTTCTCCTTGCGATACACTTTGTTTGAAAGCATCCACTTCTGCTCTGGTCCACATACTGGCAGTTACGATGTTCAGCTCGTCTGTATCATTGTTTTGTGAGTTTGAAATCGATTTTTCGTCTGCCTGTAAAATATACGAAATTAAAATGATTTACTAAAAAAGTATGGAATTATAGGCTAAAGGAAGAATGTCCCTACTAAATTTTCCGGGGCCATTCAAGACTGGCAAAATGGCAAACAAATTCAATAATCTTCCATGTTCGACTAGAACCAATTTCTAAACGACCATAGCGGCAAAAAAGTGCGTAAATTTAGGATGTTGGAATATGCTAGGAAAAGAGCAAGGGATACTAAAATCCTTAAAGACCTATCAACCTACAACTCAATGAGACGAGAAAAAGATTATGTATAGCGTAGTCAGAAAGAAAAACGAGTTGGAGTATCATCAACGAAAGAATAATCATAATGAAACTAAAACTAGGAGGTGAAAATCTGTAATAGTGGGTATATACACTCCAACCGATGATACCACTACAAACATACAGAGAAATAATTTCGAAGAATATTAACAATAAGCAAATTATAAACCCGAAGAGATATATTCTTACTGGGTGACTTTAATGGACGAAACAGAAGAAAAAAGAACAGCGCAATGATAGGAAAATACGGAAAAAATATACCAACTTACAACGCCGTGTGTCCTATAGGACTGTCTACAACATTCACTAAAAATATAAATTGGATATTTTAAACATCAATAATACAGGGTGTTTCAAAAAGGTATGTCATAAATTAAATCACGCATTCCGGGGATAAAAATAAATTGATTGAATCCAACTTACCTTAGTACAAAAGTGTACACAAAAAAAGTTACAGCCCTTTGAAGTTACAAAATAAAAATTGTTTTTTTGCATTATCTCCTAAACTACTTGACATTTTGTTCTGAAGCTATTTTTTTGTGGCATTGTAAATTAATTACTATTAAACTGGGAATAAGCCACAATTAAAGATAAAAATACGTTTATTGACGTTTCAATTTCCACTTCGGAAATCGTTCTCAATATATATATATATATATATATATATATATATATATATATATATATATATATATATATATATATATCCGGTTTTTTAGGCGTTACGCCCGTCCGGTAGGGATCTATGGAGGAGTATCACCAAGCCGCAAGCCCTTATCTCTTGCCGTACTGCTCCACCATAGGCCGATCAGATCCCAGCATATCCTAGTCTAAGCCGCAGATTCATCTAGAATTTTAAACTGCTGCGTTAGACTTTTTGTTTTGACACTGAACCATTCGACAGTGAAGCGAATGAGAGGCAGCCGCACAGCCCGCTGAGCTATCTGACTGACTCTCAAAATACAAACAGTAAATTAAACAAATTAAATTAAACAAAATTATAAAAAAAAAAAAATTAAAAAAAAAAAAAATTGTTTAATTTACTGTTTGTATTTTGAGAACGATTTCCGAAGTGGAAATTGAAACGTCAATAAACGTATTTTTATCTTTAATTGTGGCTTATTCCCAGTTTAATAGTAATTAATTTACTTGACATTTTGTAATAAAAATGGACACGTTACTTTCTTGTTCTGAAAGCATTTTTCATACAAAATAAACAACCCCAATACCCCAAACGAAATACACCCGATAGACGATTATTTCTGACCATTGATCGTAGTTTACAAGAAACGGGTAAATTCCAACCGCAAGTTGCTGGCAATAGCGGTCGTGCAATAATGGTTGCAACTGATGAAGACATTTTAGAAATCATTGAAGAAGTCTCTGGAACAAGTAAAAGGGTAATAGCTGCTCAACTAAATGTTCCTCGCGTAAGGGTTTGGAGGCGTTTGAAGGATCAGCACAACGGTTCAAGAGTTATTGGTTGAAGATTATCCTAAAAGGATTGGATTTTGCGGTTGGTTGTTAATGGAGAACATTCGAAATGTTAATTTTATTAGAAATATTTATTTACCGACGAGGCTACCTTCAGTAGACATGGAATAACAAACTATCATAGCGAGCACATTTGGGCCGACGAAAATCCTCACGCCAAAAAAACGACTCATCACCAAAGGACTTTCAAAGTTAATGTTTGGGCAGGAATTGTGCATGACAATCTAATAGGCCCAGTATTTCTTCCCACCTATTGAAATGGTGATAATTATTTGCAGTTCTTGGCAAACGATTTACAAGTGTATTTGGAAGAAGTGAATATTGCAATAAGGCAAAATATGTGGTTTCTACAAGATGGAGCTCCACCGCATTACAGTAATGAAGTCCGGGAATACCTTTGCAGGCAGTATCCTGGTCGGTGGATTGGAAGGGGTCGTGACGCACCTATTTCTTGGCCACCCAGAAGTCCAGGTCTTAACCCCATGGACTTTTGCTTTTTGGGGGTTTATGAAAGAGAAAGTGTATTCTGTAACAATAGAGGACGAACAACAATTGAGGGTTAGAATAATTGAAGCTGCAAATCAATTTCGTCAGAAAATATGATTTTTCAGCGCATTCGGTTTTCCTTATTAAAACGATACCGAATGTGTATTGAAGAAAATGGGGGTCATTTTAAACATTTATTGTAATATCATATTTATAGAGGTTATAGACATTTTTTGTACTTGTTAATTCATTTAAGCCATTTATTTAGTTGCACGTAATTTTTAAAGGTTAATGAAAAGGGCCGTAACTCAATAAAAACTGTTTTTTGAAAAAAGTGATAGGAGGCAAATTTTTTTTAAAAATAATGTGTTAAACTAACGATGCCACAAAATTCATTTGATTTGTACGTACTCAAAAGTTTGGGGGACTTACGAGCTGCACACCCCCCTTAAAATATTTCTGTGCGCTTAGATTTTGTTTCTTTTTTATGAACAATGCTTTCAGAACAAGAAAGTAACGTGTCCATTTTTATTACAAAATGTCAAGTAGTTTATTAGATAATGCAAAAAAAAACAATTTTTATTTTGTAACTTCAAAGGGCTATAACTTTTTTTGTGTACACTTTTGTACTAAGGTAAGTTTGATTCAATCAATTTATTTTTGTCCCCGGAATGCGTGATTTAATTTATGACATACCTTTTTGACACACCCTGTATATATTCACAATTAGACGTGGGAACAGAGAGTGTTTAACAAGACAGCAATCACCAACAAAAATAATTGACAAAAGAGGAACATTACGTACTTAAAACTGTGCTACGGTTCTTCTCATAGCCTTCTTTCAGGCGTGACGTAATGTTGTGTTTTAGACTATAGAATTATTGCGTGTAATTGTAGACAAATTTGACAGCTGCCAGGATTGTATTAGTTAAATGTGCACTTGTTATGAAATAAAGGTAGTATGGTATTGAAATCTGAATTAAAAAATAAAACTTGTGATTTTACTGACCTTTGTATAAACTACTGTAATGTGTAAACGTCACATGTTTCGTTATTTTCTTCGAATAATTATTTTATTTCAATTTCTCTTAATTTTATTAAGTTATTCTTTAATTTTACTATTTATGTTCTAAAAATAGTTGGCGCTCAACTCTGCTATCAACTAAATATCCTCTTTAATCATTACCTTTCAATTTTAATCTCTAACTTATTCAATTCTATTTTCCATATTCAGAACCCATACCTACTCCAATCTATTATATGCCATAGCCATATATAAAATGTCTATGCCCCTATTCCAAGCAACAAAACATATTTATCAGTTGGCAACTCTTCACTTCTGTTATATCAGTTTTCGCTTGAATGAAAGGGAATAAAAGGAAAGGAAGGAAACGTGACGGAACGTTACAAAACTTAACCAAAGAAATTGTTAAAAGCGGAGTATTCGCGGAATATAATTCGGAAAACATACAGTGTTGACGGTAATCCTCGTACAGAAACGTTTGGTAAAATGGATAAAGAAAAAAGTGGAAAGAGATGGAGATTACAATGACCTGTAAATAAAAAGAACGGAAATAACTATTCTTTTGGCAAAAAAGGGACAACGACAAACAAAATTCAGTATGACAAATTGCACAAAACTAAGTTTGACGAAAGATATGAAAGTGGAAATAGATATCAAGTAAAAAATGGCAGCAATAAAAAAGAACAAAAGAACAGACAAGAAACAACATACTAAAAAATCAGTACAGAGAAAAAAGAAAACTAAGGGAGAAAATAAAATAAGATAGAAAACATTATAGAATGACAGGAAAACGAACGACAGAAAAATAATATTATTTTTGAATGGATTGTACACAGATAAGTGAAGCCAGAAAAGATGCAACAAACAATACGTAACAAAAGAGAAATGCATCCAAGCTAGCAGAGAGAAAATACCGATGGGCAATAAGTGATGCAGAACAAATAGAAATTAAAAAAAAAGCAAGCGGAGCTTGCTTGATCTAACTAAAAATTAAGTATATTTGGGAAATGAATTAAAGATATTGGCAGACGAAATCCGTCGCAGTTAAACTTAGTAAGCTAATCATTGACAAAGAAGCACGGAAATGGGACAAAGCGAACAAAAAAATCAAGAAACCAGTTTCTAAGTGCTTGGTGGAGGAATTTGGGGATGAGCGAAGTAAATGGGTTATGTACCTTCTAAACCACACAAAACGTTTTACCCATATTTTGGAAAATATTGCAACAATTGACAACTACGCACTCCATAAGAGTACATATATTAAAGAGAGATCCTGTGTAAATTTTTGCATCAAATCTAAGGGCCCATTCTGACTATTTTTGACGCTTTTGTTGTTGGAGACACAACGGAGAATTGGATCATAAAGTATGTGATCTCGCTGAAAAGGGGAAGCTACATGTACCAGGTTCAAATAGGGTAATGATGCGTTATATGTGGTGCTGCTTCTTGTTAGCATCCGGCTTTGGAGGGGAAGATTTACCCAAGCTGCACTCATGTACTGTCTTCGTACAGGATAAATATGGGGAACATCTTGAGTACAAAAGGATCCTGAATAGACAAAAGATAAGTAACCATGGGCTCAACATTCATCTATGGATAGTCTGGGGTAGCAAACCTTCAGACAAAACGGTTTTATGGACTTTCTCAAAAGGATTCTGAATCTTAAGAACAGCTCCAGAATCTCCAAATGTCGCCCTTTTT